CGCCGTCAATGTCTCTCGTTCTGCGGGCGATTCTTCGCCGGGACAGCGCTTACGGCACGTACAACCCAGACACACCAGACAGGGGAACCTGCTCGTGGTGTTCAATCCTTCCGAAGGGAGACACGAAGCTACGACATGAAAGTGGTGTCCAGGCACGCAGCTACGGCATTGGAGATCAAAGACTCGGCGTACGTGCATGCATGCAGGTCGGGGGCAATGCCAACCTTCTGCATACACACACAAGAGTGTTTTGTGTTTTTGACAGCACTGAGACTGACGTCATTTCATTGGTCAGCAGGTTAGCGCGGTCGATGCTAACAATAAAAACACACATGTTGGGGGACCCCGCGCACTAGGAGGGATTTTTGTGCTATTTGGCCCGCATTCAGGCTGGAGAAACGGTCCATTTGCCAGCTGGTGAGCGCAGTCAAGGCCCTGTCGATCCTTGCAATTTACACCAATCACAACAGCCACAAATTAGAAATAGCCCTGCAGGAGGGTCACCCGGTGGCGTTGCAATCCGAAATCGTCAAAAACAATCCGTCCAGCCATTTCACTGCTACTACCGTTGAACCCTGCAGCGTTTTTCTTCGCATCCAAGGGGGGTGCCGAGGCTGCAATTTATGTGAACGCCCAAAGTCTCCCTCGCCGATAGTGAGGGCGAAGACAAGCTGTTGCTACTCTTTGGGCGGAGATGTTGTTCTCCGAACCAGCCACGCTCTTGCACCGGCACCGTGCTTTTTACTTGCTGCTACATCTTGACACCATCCTCTTCGGGAGTTACACCACCGTCTTCGGGAGATACACCGACGAATCAGACACCAAGAAAAACAGACCAAACTTTCCGATAGACCTAAGCACCTGCCCCTGCTGGGCTTTCACCATCCCAACCTGGACTACCCGCGTAGCGGTCCGCGTAGCGGATGCACTTTCAAAGATGACAACTCGAAGAGGATGCACACAGGGCCTGACTCGTCGAGAACGCGTCCGTGTGTGAGACAGGCCTGTCCCGACAATCATGAAGCCGACTAAGGCACCGCCTTAACACTTTTCACCGCCCCTGTATGCGCCAAGGGTTATTTTTCCCAGACGATGTTTCGGAGCTCCAGCATGACAGTCTCTGCTGGTATTCACACGAGCTGTTCGTCACAGAGCGGTTTGCTCGTTCGTTCGGTCGCGGTCGCGGCGGCGGCGCCCTCTGTCTCGTTTAGGTCGATGACGAACAAAAGGTACTGGCTGTGAACAATTGTCGTGGGCGTACGTACCTGTCTTCCACCTCCATCGAACCCCCCTGGTGCCCCCTTCCCTTGGCGCCGCCTTTCCTGCCCTTGCCGCCTTTTGCGGCCGCTGCACCCCCGTTCCCCACCATCTCCTCGTCGTCTTCCCCTCCCGCCGCCTGCCCCTCTCGCCCTCCCGCCTGCCCGTTATCCGCGTCATCCATGGGTTGCTCCTCTTCGTACTCTGGCTCGAAATCGACCTCGTCCGCCATGTTTGTTGTTGTTGTTATTGTTGCTGTCCCTGCTGCTCTCACAGGCACCGCTGCCGTACCTTCGATTGGAGACGGAAGTAACGGGTAGACGATAGGGGGGGGGGTGCACTCAGTTAACTTAGTTTGGGTGTCTGCCTAAAACAAATCCAAGTCATTATACAACCGGGACTTCCTACATCTTTTTTATACGTAAAAACGTGCGTTTTCCAATGATGACCTCAAGTTTATCTTGTCTTCTTCCTGTTTTTCGCACGAACGCACGCGACTACGAACGTGCCTAAGGCATGCTAAGGAATGCTGATCGTCATTCATTTCAGTTATTCGAAATTGTGCAACATTGTAACCATCGGGCATTTTTGGCCATATTTGGTCTAGTGGTGAAAACGTAACTTTTTTTGGAATGTGGCGACACAAATCCAAATCTAGGCCGGGACTTTTCTTCTTTTTCAGACGAAAAAATCTGGAAGTGATCATGGCTGGCTGCGTGCGGATGGATGGGATAGAATAAACTCTCTCCGTGTATCGTCCCCACAAACCAAACAATCAACCAATCGTTTCACCCCAATAATTATTCGTACTTCCCCAGTCGCCCGGCGCAATGGTGCACAACACACCCCGTTTGAAAAAGACGTGTGGACCGTGGACGAGAAAGAAAGGACGAGGATGGACAGTGTAAGTAAACCCGGGAAGATGCTCCGAAGACCTTGTTCTGACAAGAACCAAACAAGAGGTGAAATTGGACGCCCTAAATTACTACATTAACGAAGAAAGAGCAGCACATTGTACGCCGTATATAGTGGTGCACTAGGCACTCCCTAGAACGCACCATAGACCCTCGACGAACAACAACGGACCACCATGGACCATGTGAACCCCGCACGATAAACAAGAAAACGCTGTACTCGGAGCAACTACAAACCAACATAAAACCATGAATATGATACAAGGCAGAAGGAGTAAGCTACGTGGAGGAGTGAGGATGCCTTTCGCTTCCCCTTCCCGCCGGAGGAACACGCGGAGCACCGGCGCTCGGTGCATTCCTCTCGTCGTCATCGTCGTCGTCGTCGACCAGCGTGCTGCAGTTTCGGTGAAGGTGTCCGTCGCACGAAGTGCACGTGACCGTGGCGATGTTGCCCTCCCTCGTGCATCCCGCGTAGACAAACTTGGGGCTGACGATGAGAGGGAGGTCTTCAGAGACTCGGGGGAGTTGTCGGAAGAAGGGCGGACGAGAGCCGGTAGGCGACGCGAGACGGAATGGGGCAACCGGGTGGGGGGGCGTGCTCTCGGTCGGTGTCGGCATTGACGGGGAAACGATCTCTTGAGGTCAGGCTCGTCGCACAAGGCAGCGATCCCTCGAGCGGGGCGTTCCCGGGCAAGATTCATAACCCCCCTAGACGAGACGGTCGTGCGAGCACACCTTTGCCTCGTCGATCACGAGTTTGATGATATATTTGCAACTCGTGATCGACGAGGCGAAGGTGTGCTCCCTGAACCGTCTCCGGGTTCAGGGGGCTATGGATCTTGCCCGGGAACTCCCCGCTCGAGGGATCGCTGCTTGTGCGACGAGCCTGGCCTCAAGAAATCGTTTCCCCGTCAATGCCGACACCGACCGAGAGCACGCCCCCCCACCCGGTTGCCCCATTCCGTCTCGCGTCGCCTACCGGCTCTCGTCCGCCCTTCTTCCGACAACTCCCCCGAGTCTCTGAAGACCTCCCTCTCATCGTCAGCCCCAAGTTTGTCTACGCGGGATGCACGAGGGAGGGCAACATCGCCATGCTTACATGTACCTCCTGCGACGGACACCTTCACCGAAACTGCAGCACGCTGGTCGACGACGACGACGACGACGACGAGAGTAACGCACCGAGCGCCGGTGCTCCGCGTGTGGGGTCCGCCGGGAAGGGGAAGCGGAAGGCATCCTCACCCTCCACGTAGCTTACTCCTTCTGCCTTGTATCATATTCATGTTTTTACGTTGGCTCATAAATACTCTCAGTACAACGCTTTCTTGTTGATCGTGCGGGGTTCACATCTCGGGCGTGAAAAAAATCAGAAGTCAAACCTGGCAAGGGAGAAAATCTTTCGAGTTTTCGAAGAGATCACGTCTGCCGAGCTGTGGAGTCTGACAAGCCGGGGAATCAGCGTGCGGTGTGCTTTCATGCAAACTGCATCGGGAGAGGTGGGTTTCACGAACAAGTGCAGTGACACCGACTGGGCTACTTCGTGAACGATGGAATGTACGCGGTTTGTTGTCATACCACACACATGCCCTACCACGCCCTACCCTTTCGACTCTCCATCAGGGCTCCATAATCCTTCACACTAGCTGAACAGCATGGCATCGTTTAGGTCTTGCTGAGGCTGAGGAACAGCTACGTTGCAGCGTTTGCACGACCTCACATTGTCAAACAGCTGCCATACATATCACTCGCGTATCATAGCATAGCATTGTAGGTAGCACATAGGAGAACGCTGGGAAGATTCACATTTTACGACTTTGTGCGTCCATTTTACACTCCAAATTTTTTGTCGATAAAATCAACCTAGCGAGTGCGCCGACAGCAGTAATCCTTGGCGAGTGCGCCGACAGCAGCAATCCTCGGCGCATGCACACCACACTGCACTCGATGCCCGACAACAGTGCCGTGATGGTCTACCCGAGTCCAATGGCGACAAGATCAATGAGATTGTGTGAAAGAAATCTTAGGCGTCTCTCCGTAGGTGGGGAATGGGGGATGGGGGGGGGCGGCACCGGTTTGAGAAAGAGAGTAAAACGAGAGAGAGAGAGAGACCACATGACGCGCGCACAACATCACACGGGCTTCCGTTATCTGCCGATGTTGCTGTCCTCACTCTGGTTGGTCTTCTTGTCCTCCAACCTTGAACCACAGAACACACAGATGCTCCCAAAATGGTCATGAGAGAGGATACCGCGGATCAGCTGCTGCTGGTTGTATCCTCTACCCAGTACCTACCTCTCTTCGCTGCTTTTGTCCAAATCGACCAACGCTCGACAGATCGTCTCCCGCCGCAGCTTTTTATGGAATCAATCGAGCAAGAGCAAACCGGCGAGGGAGCAATGCAGCCTTCGCTCGCGACGGCGCCAAGCTCGCGCACGCGCGATCCTTTCCTTCTTCCTTTCTTTGTCTCTCTCTCTCTCGCTCTCTCTCTCTCTCTCTCTCTCTCTCTCTCTCTTCCCCCTCTTCCCCCCTCGTTCCCCCCTTCCATTCAGTTCCCCGTCCTCTGTTCCCAATCCCCCAAGCGCCGGTGGGACGATCCAAACCTCAACGCCAACACTTCAAAAATAAACCGCACTATGCACCTGGTTTGTTCGATTCACTCGACGATCCAATGCTCGCGGTCTTGGCGGTGGTGTGAAGCAGCACACAGCAGCCTCCCCCCTCTCCCGCACGCCACGCAGGGCACACACACTTGGGAGTTTGGCAGGTATGGCGAAAGAGGGGGCCCCGTCCAAGGACTACGACCCGCTACAGCTGCCGCACGTGTCCTCATCAACCGAAGCGAGGGAGAGAGGGATAGAAAGCACTTAGCTGTGTGCGTGCCAGGCAGAAAGAGGGCGAAGGGAGACTCCGCAGTGGATAGAAGCAGCCGTCTCGAATTGAGAGCCAAAGGATACATTTCTTACGGGCGGGGGGTTACGACAGGTGGACCGCTGCCGGTTTTTGCTCTCCGCCGCTGCTGGGAGGAGAGGGCGCGCGGAGATCAGAGCGGATCGGGCTAGCTCTGCCATGGCAGACCAGTTCTACTGCCGTTACTAGTGAGTGGTGGATTAAAACCAGCCGTTGCTTCGTTGTGCTTCGGTCGCGTACCGTTTGTCTGGCTGGGGCGGCGCAGGCGAGGTTACGCGCGATCCCATCCCGCGTGGCCTCTGCCCTTCTCTTCCAAACAGAGAGGCCCTCCAGGCACCTAGGGTACAGCAGAGATTAAACGAGGAAAGATATGTATCAATGCAATGAAGGCGCATGCATCGGTGGCGCACGACTTTTCCTGCATTTCCCGGCTGTACACTCCTGGCTGTTGTCGGCGCGAACGCAGGCGTGGCGGTGCGATGTTACGACCGCCAACAACGGGAGGGAATCTAGGTGTCTTTCGGCTAAGCAGGTTGTTCTTGCGGCCCCTTCGTGACCGCTTCTCTGGTACATTCTGGACTTGAGATCCATCTTATTCCCTCATCGTGTTTTTCCATTGACTCAGACTCCGCTCTACGCTCTCATTTATCTTCACTTCGCCATCGTACTGAGGAGTCTAAAACTTGCGTAGGTGAACGTAGGTACAGCAGGCCTTTTTTCATCATGTACTCTGTTAGGGGTGCCAATCGGTCAAATTTCCTTAAGGAAAAAATTTCAAAAAGTGACCTGGATCTTCCAGATGGAAAATCGCTCGAGCCAACCAAATCACATAGAACGCTCCGAAGAACCCCGACAGAACCAAAAACACCCGGCTCCCATACGCAAGTGCGACCGCTCTGCCTCCTCTCTCTTAGCCTCCTCCTCCTTCAGCGCCTCGGTGCTCTCTCGCGCGAGCTCCTGAGCAATGCTGCACCCAGCGGCGCTCGCCGCCTCGCGCTGTCTACTTTCGATCAACTCCTGCTCCTTTTCTACCAGCGCTTTCTGCGCGACGGCAACACCGCCCCTTTCGACCGCGCGCTGTGTGTGCGCTGCTCCGGCCGCGTCGGCAAAGGTCCGCCCCTCCCGCTCTATGTATTTGCGTTCGTTTATCTTGAGGTTGCGACGAAATCGATTTTTTCCTCCCGCGCCTAAGGCCGAGCGTTTGCGTTTTTTGGGGACCTCGACCGCGGTGCTTGGCGTGCTTGACTGGCCATTTTCAGACATGCGGTTCTCGCTTGTAGTTTTTGCGATTCTAGTTCGGTTTCTTGCGTTGTGTCGCTGAAACCCCGAGGCTGTGCGCTGCGGATCCGCTGTCCTACGATCACCAAACGCGGCCACGAGCGTGAGCCTTCAAACCGAATTTCATAGGGTTTTCTGTGTTGTTCGCCCGCCCATTGAACACCAGTAGAAAACGAACCCGCAGTCACGTGTAGATGCCCTGTCTCCAGATGTGTGTAACGTATGAAGAGCCACATAGCTGCATGGACGCAGGGACTCTTGAACAAACATATGGAGGATAAAGTATACTTTGATCGGAATGATTTCAAGAGCTGAGCTGAGAACCAACAATCCGCGTGCCCCCCCTTTTTTTCCCAAAATCCTCGAATAGACCGGTCACTTTTTTGCCGCCAAAATCGGCCCGATTGCCACCCCTAACTGTACATAAAAGCAACGTCGACGACCCCCCATTCAATGGGGCTGAACAGGCTTCGAGGTGCTTGCCTTGGAGGTTTGTTCAGAGAGTCCCTCTTTGGCCGACACAGAAACGCCGCTGGGCGAAAGGCTACTGAAACTCCCAAGTGCGAAGCTCTGTACAAGCGACAGGTCTGGTACCTGCAGTACACCCGTAGATCGGATCTACATTTTTTTTTTTATCCTCTTATCGTTGGACACTGTCGCTGCCCCTCTGGTCCCTATCCTCCACTTCTACTAGCTAGACGACCCAACCGGGGTTACACAGGAGGGGGGGGCTGGACCCCCTCCTGCGGTTCCTGCCTGAGATATTTTTATCGCGAGAAGGGTACAGCCATCCCTTCCCTCGCGACGTACGAAGTGATATATGTGTTGCATAATAGCAAAAGCAGGCGTAGTCTGGCTGGATCTTGGATCCTATGACGGAGAAATTGTTCTGTGTGACCCCGCGGACCAAAGCTCGTCAGTTATGAACAAATTCAGGCCGCCTGTTGAAAACCGGCGCGGTGTTTTTGTTGCTCACCTCCGACCTTCACCGCACCACAAAACGCGTGACCAGTGTGGGCCACAAGGGCAAGTTCGGGCACGAGTTCATGGAGTTTGAGTTCTCCAGCACCGGCAAGCTGAGGTACGCCAACAACTCCAACTACAAAAACGACACGATGATCCGGAAGGAGGTGACGGTGAGCCAGTCCGTGCTGGACGAGGTCCGTCGAATCATCCAGGAGGCGGACATCATTGCGTGAGTTTTGTATTCAAGCATAGCATAGCATAGCATAGCATAATTCTGTGTGGGTGTTGCGGCTGTCGTCTTCGTCGTCGGTGGCCCTGGTGTTGCTCGCGCGTGTTTTAACGACAGCAGCAGACGAGCATATCAACTGCGTTCTGCTCTTGTTCGTGGTGATGTTACATGGGTGTCAGTGCTTGACGCTGTTGCTGTGCTTACATGATGGTGTTGGTATTGTTGTTTCTTGTTGTTGTTTCTCACATTAGCTCTATTGTCCACAAAAAATGGGGAGCCCGTGGTCTCAGAACCCGGCACATACGACGCCGCGGGGAAATGAGGTGGAATGATTGAATTCGCACTACGGGACGCCGCTAGTCAACAGCAGTGTCAATTTTCACAGCAAACACCCACAAGGTGTGTGAGGGTTGGTGTGGCATGGCAACCATACTTCACCTTTCACCCGATCTCGAAATCCTCGAGCGTGTGCTAGTCTCTTTCTCCCGCCAGTAAAGCCCCCGCCAGCTTCCTCAGAGCGGCACGTCAGGCGCTGTGCTTGGTTCACGCAGAATCACCGAGAGGGACGAGACACGGAGACGCCTAGATATATAAACAAAGAGAGCACCACTCCGCTTAAATTTCTGCTCTGTGTGCGTTGGAACTAATTGGTCGACCGCCGTCGCGTTGACAACTACGCCGGGAGCAGGGAGGACGACCACAACTGGCCGGAGCCCGATCGCGTAGGGAGGCAAGAGCTTGAGGTGAAGCTGGGCAAGGAGCACATTTCCTTCACGGTAAGGGAAAATAAGGAATTGATGTTGGTGTGTTTTGATGCCCATGTAGGGCTCACAAGGAGGGCATAGACGGGGGTTTAGTGGTGTAGCGCCGCAGTTTCCCCCCCGAGGCCTTCGTGTTACGGGCGTGAGATGCTCTTGTTCCGCTTAGGCCAGCTGAGTGGCGCCCCTTGTGCACCCCCCTCCCGCCTGTGTCTCGCCCGCCCGTCCTGCGTTTTCCTTCCTCTCGTGCCTTGTCAATCGTGTTGTCAGTGCTCCAAGATCGGGTCGCTGTTGGACGTGCAAGAGAGCAATGACCCGGAAGGGTTGCGCATCTTCTACTACCTCATCCAGGACCTCAAGTGCCTCGTATTTTCCCTCATCACTCTCCACTTCAAGGTGCACGGGTTGAAGCAAGCATCCAATTGGCAAAAAAGAAGAATCTTGTTCCTCTTTGAATCCGTTGTGTCGTGCTCTAGATAGACAGTCCTGATCTCCGGAATATGTTCACCGAGGGGAAACCCCGATGGTCCGCACCTAAGAACGAAAGGCAGCAGACATCCAATCGGCAAGAGACTAGCTCAAGGTCGTGGTCGACTCCCTGAAAAAGGGACATGTAGGCAAGCACAACCAGAAACACGAGATTTACGCGACGACGTTCCCGGTTTTTTGTGGTTACAGTTCTTGTGCATGTGGCGCTGACCGACGACCCCAGACTGCGTGTGAACGCTAGGCTGTCTGCTTGGTAGCGACTGAGCCAGGGCATGTAAGTCCTCCCATGTGTACCGCGGCTGTTGCTGTTGCTGCGCTTGCAGCAACGAACGCCGCTGCTGCCAGTAAGCTAGGCCGATCGGCCGGCCTATCTTTCCTGCAAAGTGTGGGTGATTGTAAGACTCATTTCGGCCTACTTCTGGCCGCCCGGCAGAGCCACCTTGTACGGCGGGCGAACTTCCGGAGTCTCCTTCGGCCAACCCCGTGGCTCTGGCTGGACAGGAAGTGCAATTTGCACATTCTTTTTCTCCTTTGAGAGTGCGTCTCGTCGCCGCCGGGGAGACTTGGCGCGGTTTCCGTGGTCGTGGGAGCGTCGGTTGTCGCACGCACAGCCGTGATGGCATCTGCTGCTGTTTCTGATGCTGTCCCTTGCACCCCCTCTTACAACTCGCATTCATTTTCTGCTCGTTCTTTCTCGCACACTGGATCCTTTGTATTTTGATAGATCCGACCTATTCCGTGAGGACGGTCCTTCGGGGGAGGCATGGCGAAGTCTACCCGCTCGTCCGTCGTGACAACCCTGGCATCTTTCATCTGAAGTGATGCGATCTCACGAAGCTGCTGCCTGCTGGCTGGTGACACATCGGTGCTATCCGATTACCGATTTCTTTTGACGTGTGTACCGTACCATGACGGGCCGGGATGGATGTAGACCAGCTGCGGTGTGCTCCTTCATTTTCGGCTGTTGCGGCCTAACGGGGAAAGGCTGCATGGCTCGTTGATTTTGTTGCTTCGTAGCGTGGGCATCTTTCGGGCAGGCAAGCAGGCAGGCAGCCCCCCTTGAAAAGAAGTAAAAGAGAAACTTTCTAGTACGGTGGGCGCTGCGATCAACGCGTGCGAGCACTCTGCTAGGACTTGTCTGTCACTAGACTAGGTGTCTGAAGCAAGCGACTTGGTCGTGCCGACAGACTCAGTGGGGAAGAGATAAACTACAGCACACGGCAGTAGCACAGCAGTAGTACAACCAGACGCCTGTACCGGAGGATTAGGTGCATCCTAGATCATGAGATTCAGATCGAGGGGTAGGAAAGGACTGCTGTGAAGAGTCGCGGGAGAAACGGTCTGTAGGCATAGTCTGTAGCTCGACAACGGGTTTGACGTTAGGGTCCTACGCGTCAAAAGAACTCAAGCCTGGGTCAGCTTTTCAGTTTTCGTGCCGAACTAGCGTGTAGACAAGGTCGACGCATGCGGTAGAGGTTAGCACGTACACAACCCCCTGAGGATTATGGTTTGGGGGGAACGTTGGAGGGTGGTATGTAATGTTTTCGGTTCGCGGGAACAGCACGTGTAGCATAGTCTAGTAGGTTAGGGTTTGCGCGTTTGGTTTGTTTGTGGTAAATTTGACAGAAAACCATTTGAAAAATCATGCTCATTGCTGGGCATCGGGTGGCGCGGCGGGGCAGACGTGTCCCGCCCCATCCCTTGACATCCGTCATGTCGGCAAGATGATCCGAAATTAATTAATTCTGCAAGTATTTCGTTGAAGATACGTTGCCTCAGTTTTCGCTGGATAAAATTATCGCAACTACAGAAATGCATTGTCCACACACACCATTTTCCAAACTGGCGACCGGTTCTGCAGGAACTTGTTCGCAGCATGATGCTGCTATACATCGAGAAAATTACGGCTGAAATCCACACACAACCCCGGATTAGTTGCACGTCGCGAGAGGGACTCGATCCTTCCCTGCGGGTCCTGTACTTCCTCAAGAACAACGAAAAACAGAGGCTGGGGGGCGTGTTGAGACTGTGTCAATGCCAACAAGAGTATCTTGCGTGAGAAGTGAGCAATTCTCCAAGCGAGGATGATGCACCATCTTCTCCCCCACCCCACCCCACTTGCTCATGAAATGGATTTGCATTGTGACAGGATCAGATAGGTACGCGCGTTCCGACAGACTGATATCGCGGAGCACCTATATGTATGTGTATGTGTTTTTATTATTAGCATCGACCGCGCTAACCGGCTGACCAATGAAAAGACGTCAGTCTTAGTGCGGTTGAAAACACAAAACACTTCTATCTACCATGAACTGGGACCTGTCTGTCACTTGTCTACACTTGCACTCCCACTCCGCTGGCTGGTGGCATGGGTTGCTCAACATCAAGAGTTCTTAGAGATGACTCTTCTCTGACGATCCGCCCGCCAATGTAGGTGCCAGCAGACTAGTTGTATAGTACCTCCTTGCTCGTCCTCGTGTTCGCTTAGACAGAGCGTTTAGTACAACGCAGACAAGCACTGTAGATAAATTGCTTCGGATCTCCGCGCTCGACCAACCGTAGGTAACACAAGACCCAACGCCCCTTCAGCCGATTTTCAAGGCTCGATTACTCCACAACAGAAAGGGTGGCGGTGCCGAAAATGGCGGTGTCGGAACCGTGTCGTCGAGATCTTTCCAAAAACGCATCGATTGAGATGCTCACACCCTTCGTGGAGTAATTGAGCTTTGAGAATCGGTCCAAAGAAAGAGGGGTTGTATATTGCGTCACCTGTTGCGCTGCACTCAAGTTACTTTGCACCGCGCATCAGACTACCCAACGCTGCAGCCCCGCGTCTTTATGTGATTACATCAACAGGTCAGAGGACAACGGCGTTCAGGGTGCAATGTTTGTTCGCGAAGGTGGGCTTTTTACGTGGTTTAAACAAGTTAACATTCATCGAGCTGTGTATTCCGTCAGTCATCCCCTGCTGCATTGACAGATACCATGTATTCATACTGATACAGCTCTAGGCCACCACTGCTGTTGCTGCTGCGGTATGTTGCAGCAACCACGAAACTCAGCGGGTAGAAGCTGTTGTTGGAACGCTAAATATAACAATGAGGATATATGCAGCGTAGGACGGCCCGGGCCTGCTGATCCCCGAGAGGTGAAAACTTGGCGAGTCTGGGAGTCTGTCTCCCGCTTCGACGATCCAGTCAACCATCATGTACCGCTGCTGCTGTGGTACAAGTTGTACGAGTACGATACCCATACATGGATGATCAGGCATTGGCACTCAACGGCCCCCAAGTGCATAGTTTACAGCAGTAGATGCGTATTTGAAAGTTGGTTGGACAGAAGAAATGATGCCGACTGAGTTGAAGTTGAAGTTCATCGCATCACGGAAGGACGACACACTGCTGTGCACACGAGTACAAACTACTCACCAGCCACTCTCGAGCGGGGCTCGATTTTGGGCTTTGCTGCGTTGCTTGCGGTCACGCCAACCGAAAAATCGGTCCCACCAAAAAACAGGGCCTATCCGATAATAACACAATACACCATTAGGCTTGTCAGCCACCGTTTGTGGGCGCTGGCTATTAGTCGAATGGTGTTACATTATCGACTAGGGCCCACAGGGAAGCACGCGCGTCCGTTCGAAGCACACACACAGGCTAACGGCTAGGCATCCAAGCGTTCCCATGAGAGGTCTAGTCTACAGCAGTAGCGGCGCCAACAAGTAATTCACCTCTCTTATACACCGGTCGCCCCGGTGGTCTAGTGGGTAGCCTCGTAGCCTGCTAAGGGCCAGGTCATGGGTTCGAGTCCCGACAGACTGAGTTTTTTCTCGCTAATTACATCCTGGTCTCCGTAGGAAGCGACGCGCTGCAAAGCTCGTTGTTAGTAAACTTGATCGACTTCATAAGTCGCGAGGGAAGGGATTGCTGTACCCTTCTCGCGATAAAAATATCTAAGGCAGGACCCGCAGGAGGGGGTCCAACCCCCCCCTCCTATGTGACCCCGGTTGGGTCGTCTAGCTGGTAGAAGTGGAGGATAGGGGCCAGCAGGGCAGACGACAGAATCCAATGATGGAAGAAAAACAAAAAATATATATGTACATATGTTATACGTACTCCTATCGTATTGTAGACCGCATGCATCCGGTGTGCAGAGCGCCGGAAGGTGTCACAAATTTTGCATTTTAACAGCAAACCTGTCTGTGGGTTTGCTCTGTTTTTCAAAAGGACTCTGTACCATGTACAGCAGTAGAGAGGACGAACACAGACAAAGTTTGTGAGTGTTTTGTACTCCGGAGTATATTATACTTCGTAACAGAGGCGTAATGCCCTTGAGCGTTTGTGCTCTTTTGCACGGTGCGCGCGATCGAGCGCGGATGACTTTTTGTTGTGTGTGTGTTGCGGAAATTCCGCCGCACCTACGGTAATGTGACTCCAATATGCATAGCCGGCCATGTTCTGTGCCTATAGTGTTTTGAGTCTCAACCAAGCATGGAGGTGGGCGGCGGTCGGAACGGTGTTTCGCACTGTTTTTTTAGCTTTCACTCCGTGAACAAAGCAAATATTTCACGTTTTCTCGGGACCTTTGAACCTTAAGGGTCCATTTCTCGTCATGGAGGGTAGGTGCAGTCAATGTCGTCGCGGCGAGGTCTGGTAGATTGTGACCTTGATAAGCACAGAGCGGAGCCAGCAACCATTAACCTACAACCCCCCCCAGCTTGTGACAACTGTTTGTTTGACGACTAAAAGTATTTAGCTGAGTCACGCCTTTCGACATTAGAGTTAAGTGCAATGTGGAAAATATGGCCACCGACAACACCGCTGGCTCGGCTCACAACAATGTTCGTATGCATATGTGTGCATTTTGCCGCGTCCTCCTCCCCATGCACCCGAAGGAAGAACTTTACAGAGCGGTGCCACAGAAGCTGGAGACCGCGGTTGTACACGACACAACAACAAACACACTTGACGGAGAAATTGCGCCCCATGCGTAGATTGTCGCCACGCCAACCGAAGCGAGTATTGTATGCATGTTTTCCTACGACACACGGTACGAAGGAGATGTGTGAGAGAAGGGGGGGGGCGGAGAGGTCGAGGCACATCCATCCGGCGATGTGGGTTGTTCGCGCTCAAGTTCAAGTCACGTTGCCCCAAGGTTGTGGTTGCGCAGCAAATATGTAACCGTGCCATGTTTGTGTCCTGCATCTTATCCCCCGAGTTTGTTTGGTGGGACATGCCCCCCGGAATATCTACTTGAGATTGTATCTCAGCCTATATAAGAGATATTTCTTGCTGGCTAAACGGGCTAAACGGCTGCACGCATGATGAGTGGTATCTAACTTCAGTAGCTGCGACAGACGGGCTTGCCCTCGACCCCCGCTGGCGAAGCGGCAGTATCAAGTTCGCTGAACTAATCCACTTGACCGCGCAGCGCTTGGGTGATGAAAACGGAAAAAGTACGCTGCTGGTGCGGAATCCCTACACCCATGTAAAAAACACGAATAGTGCGGGCCTCGAGACACGAAACTTCAAAATCGGGTCGAGGCTGCTGTGGAGCACAGGTTGATGTATATGTAGAGTTAAGCATAGGATCCACGGCCGAGCAACTTTTTTCTTGGTTTGGTCAAAACTTGAGCCTCTGTTTCTTGACGAAACATACTGCTGTTTGTATTTGTTAACGCTTGTTTTGCAGTGCTCGACGAAGACGTCCACGAGATGTACGACTTCACCGGCCCCGTGCTCGGCTCCGGGGCGTTCGCGACGGTGCTGCGGGTGAGGGACCACATGTCCGGCGTCGAGTACGCCGTAAAGCAGGTGAGCTGGCCCGCGGCCCGATCGTGGTCGGCTGAGCGCTCAGCGGAAGGTTGCCTTGCGTCGTGCTCCTAGCAACCTCGATCTGGCGCACGAGTTCACCTGTTTTTCTTTGCCATGCTACATGCCTACCCTCTTCATCTGTTCCGCAACGTAACACGTCGTTGTTGGATACAAGCTTCCCGTTCGGCGAAACCTCACGTGTGCTGTTGCAACCCAATCGTTGGCCTCCCACCCCCCGCCCAACCTTACTCCTGCCTCCGCCGCCGCCTGGCGATTGTCCTCGGGGAGCACGCAGATCGACCTTTCGGGCATCAAGGACGACCCGTCTACCATGCGGATGCTCTATAATGAAATCAAGGGAATGAAGGCTTTGAATCATCCGAACATCGTTAGGCTGCAGGAGGTGAGGAAAATCTGCAGGATCCCCCGTCTTGGATACGTTCCCACCTTTGCGCATTCCACAGTGAGTTTACCCGCTCTCTAGCGTCCCCCACATGTTTTTGGTGTGTGCGGGTTCACTGTTATGGTACTTTATGCCTCTGGTACAGTCGACACCACAGCGTTACGTTTGATTCCCCAAGGACGCTTTTTGTTGCGTCTTCGACTGCGATGTCCAGACGCTCCAATCGAACCCATTTTTGCCAAAAACTGCTTCGGCTTGTACCGTTCTTGCACCGTTCGTGTTGTCAGCACGAAGACGAACAAGGGTCATCGAGCCACTTTACGACTCCTTGGAGGAGGGGGGCGGCATGCATTTCTCGATGCGTGTGTGTTTTTTGCCTCCATATGCGCTTAACCCCCATCGCCCGGCTCTTATCATGAGGGACCCCGTCTCCCCCTTGAGACAATGCCATGCGCACAGTAGCCTTAACAAGGTGTGTCTGTCAAGTAAACATGTTGGGATGAAACGTGCAATCGGGGAAGTAGGGGTAAAGGTTAGGGATAGTGTCTGCGTCCCCCCACCCCCCCTCCCTGTTGTATTTCCTCATCATAAACTCAATTTCTCGCGAAGGCAGTCCCTACATATAGCAGCATGTATCAATTTCCCCCCACTTGTAAGGTCTATCAACCGAAGGACGAAGACATGATGTACCTCGTGCTCGACCGGTTGTCGGGGGGTAGCGTCGAGGCCCTGCGGAGGCAGAAGGGCCACCTCGAGGAGAACTTCGCCGCGTATATCGTGGCGCAGGTGGTGGATGCCGTCCGCTACTGCCACTCCCTCAACATCGTGGTGAGAGGATTAAGGCTGGTGCGGTAGTGGGGGTCCCTCAGTAGCGCCGCCGGTATGTGCCCGCCAGGTTCACCGGTATCACTCCACCCCGGGCAGGCACCCTTCACGTGTGTATTGAGACGATCAGACAAGTTGGGTTTTCCATCCGTTTCACGCGGTTTCACCGGCACTGTTCCGGGCCGTGGCACTATAAAGGGACCCCCACTAATGTGGTAGAAGAACAAAAGGGTGGGTGCGGTAGCCGTTGCTGCCAGGACACTTGCTTGGTTCTGCGATCAGGCAAAGGTAAGGCCTAAATCTCCGTCGCTGTCGAAGCCTTCCGGCCCCGTCCTGGTGATGATCTCCGCCGGGAGGGAGGGGGTGGATTTCGAAGAGACGAGCGTGTGCCCGTAGGCTACGCTGTGTTTCTGCCCCCTCTGTATTTTGCCAGCATGGCGGCGAGACTGCTTAGTAGCGGCCTTGAAAGGGAAGAGAAGATTGATGTGATAGCGGACTCGACGAAGAAGAGACCCGGGAAGGTGTGTGTGCCCTCGGCAGGTGGTTTTCTCTAAGTCACCACGCGGTTTGGTCGGACTGTTTGGGGGGGCAGGGCATGCGGTCCGCGACACTGCGCTGCTCTCTCTGTCTACATCCCGGCGCGAGTGAGAATGGTGCACATGAGACAAGACATGAGTACCACGCAACTCTTGGGTGCGCTCTTCTGAGCCGAATTTCACCCCTTCACCCCCTCCCCCCCCCCGGCCGGAGTGAACACCCTGCGGGGTTACGGGTTCGGGGGCAGGGGGCGGGTTGGACGCCCGCCCATCCGCAGAAGGGGCGATTCTAAAAGCAGAGAGTGCGGTTACTGTCGTAGAGGTTGGGTGAAGAAACGCCTTCGGGGAGGGTGTGAGGAAATGATTCGTTTGTTTTCCGAATGTTGTTTCGATCTATTTTCTCTACCGCCCCGGGCGTGCGCATCTGCAATAGCATCGAGACCTCAAGCTGGCGAACTGCATGTTCGAGGACGAGTCGGCGTCCCCCATCGTGAAGATCATCGACTTCGGGCTTTGCAAGGAACTGAAAAACGGGGAGACGTCGAGCGCCTTCGTGGGGACCATGACCTACGCATCGCCGGAGGTAAAACCCCTACCCGCGGTACCTCTTTTAAGGTCACCTCTTCATAGTTACTGCGATGATAGCACGTGTTGCTTTGACGGAGTAGAACATACTCAGACAGGCACCTCCGGTGGCTTCATTTGTGCTATTATCGTTTGCTGGTCGTTGGTGCGTTCGTCGGCAAACGCGCCTCAAATCTCTTGTTTACTCTTTTGCGGCTGTCGACCGAGCCGCAAGACCGACACCGGAAAGGCTGGGCGTCATGTGTCCTGTTTGTTGATGAGAATAGCAGAGCAAGATTTCATGGGACGATGCCCGCTGCCTGCGTGCGTAGTTGGTCTTCGTGGTCGGTGGTGTGGCTTTTGGTTTTCGTGCGGGGGTTCTTGTTCGAGAAACACTTTTCATCAATGAACGAGAAAACTCAATGGCGTGTGCAACGTAAGCCTGTTGTTGTTGTCGTTGTTTCGAAGGGCGGTGTAGAGGTGGCTTGCGTTTTTTTTTTTTTTTACGTTTTTTTTGGGGGGGGGTTGTTATGTGGCCCTTCCCACCACCCGATGTGAGTTCTCATTCCCCGGGCCAGGCCAAGCTCGACATGCACACCAGGCGCTAACTACGTTGGGACCGGAAAATGTCAGAAGACCTAGATTACACGCATCGTGTAACCCCTTTTCACCTTAGCAGATCCAAAAATATGTATTTGAGGTATTCGAGGGCGCGAGAAGGGACGCGGCTGGTCTCTCTTGCTTTTCCTACGTTCGGTTGTGGGCGTGTGCTCGTCATTTTGTCTGATCTTTTGCCCCGCATGGATACCGAAATGGGCCCGGAACGTGACCCCCTCCACCTTATCCCACCCCCATCTTGCTGTTCCCGCTCGGTGCCGGCGAGGTCAGATGGTCATGAAGAACAAGCGGCATGGGATTGAATGCGACGTGTGGTGAGTTACACTGGTTTGGGTCTGTTCCGTTTTTTTTTTTTCTCCAGCAAAAGACGCATCAACGCGGTTTGCTGATCACGATCTCTCCTCCTCCAGGGTCGCCGTGGAAGAGGCTTGGCAAACGCGCACAACAAACACGGTATGGACGAGTTTGGGGCCAGCCGAGGTCGATTTTGGTTTCAGTCAGAGTAGACGCCCCGTCTACGGCGCTGCGATTAGCTCCGCTCCTGTAGTTTCAAGCCCCGCTGTGTCTGTCTCCCACAACGCCCTCCAGAGTTGGGCCTGTGATTTACCGCCAGGGTTGTTGTACCCACCGGTCGCGGCCGTTGCAGCCAGCGGCTGGGCGTCAGCCCTTGTCCCGTACAGCAAGCATGGTTGATTTTTGCCGTAGTACAAGACCACAAGCAACAACGGCAACAACAACGACAACAATATCATCAGCAGGAGCGCCATCATCAACAACAACTAATACGATACCACATGCAGGTCTGTGGGCGTCATGGCGTACGCCCTGGTAGGCGGGCGGCTTCCCTTCAACGCGGAAGATCCGGCGGCACTTCAGCACCAGATCAAGTACTCGCAACAGTCCTACGCAGATGAGGTGCGTCGTCGTCGTTGTGGACGATTTGGCCGGTACGGTACGGGTGTATATGGAGGGTTGTCTGTTGGGTTGTTTCGTGGGAATGCGAAACGCAGCAGGCTTTCTACGGTAACCACCAAAACACTGCTGTGACTTTGATATTGTCTAGAGTTGGCAACGCAGCTTGCCTCGGGCAACCGTGCTGGTCCTCCAATAGATGCTGGGTTTCTTGTCGAAGGTGGTGCTGTAGGGAGCACGGACGAGATGGAGGCTCGCAAACAACTAGTCACCACAACGTGTGTGAAGAACGTACCACATGCGTGTTGCTGCATCCTTGCGACGACTGTTTTGTCAAGAAGAAAACGGTAAGCAGAGACGGGCAACTATCGGCTAGTACTAAAAAATGATCAAGATAGTACAGACGAGACGAAGATTCGCATATGCATAGAACCGGAATCAATCGGTGCTGCGTACACAAACGTACGCTCGCTTTTGTTCTTGTTGCATCCTACAGCGTTCAATGTCACACCATCATCTGCGGTTGAATGGATCAGCGACAGATGATGATGATGATGTGGCCGAAAAGAGTATCATCAACGCATACTTGTTTACGTACGTCACACAACGCACGCTCCCTACTGCTGTGATTCCTCGCTCAAACAGTCGCGACAGCCCAACGCTGCTGTACAGCACACCACGGGCACGACACGACCGCTCATCCCAGTTCCACCACAGAATGTCCCGCTCGTGTGCCGGTCCACCGAAAAGTATAATCGATGAACCTGATATACACAGAGAAATATTTTGTCAAAGGAGTCGACAAGCATATATACATATGCTCGCGCGCGTAATAACAACAACAAATAAATGTAACCGCGGAAACGCGGCGGAATAGGCAGCCTCCGCGGGGCACGTGACAGCGGTGTGCCCCTACCCTGTCGTTGCCACGCTAATCCCGGAAGTGGGTAATCCCGTTGAAGATTGGAGTTTGATGGCAAGTAGGCAACGATGCGCACGCGCAAATTGGTCGAGGTGGGGGTTGTTGTACAACGGATGGATGGATGCATGTGTTCCGACAAGGAAAAGAGAGAGTCATGAATCGTCAAGTTGTCAAGTTGTTGACCGTGCGAAATGCGGCGGAGCATACTTCCGCGTCGGGAGGTTGCAGCGGTGTGGCCCGAACCTCTCGTTGGCAGGAAAAATCGGTAGACACACAGCCATTCCAGTGTCAAAGGGGTTGTCAATCTAGCTGTGGATTGGACGGGGCTTCAATTTGGTGGACGAAAGGCAATATATAGGCACAAGTCCATAGAGATCGGAGCAATTTGGTGCCGGAAGCACCGGCTGCATGCTCGTGTTTCGTGCTTGAGAAGGCCGGTCACCGACACAGCCAAACTTTAAGGCAGGGGGCACCTATCAGGCTGAAATTTGCTGAGAGCGTCTGATGTAATGTGCAGGACGGCCGATGGTGTGATTCCTCGCGCCTCGGGCGTTCGGGTCAAAAAAGTGCGTGGTTTGGAGCCTCGGAGTAAGGGCATCAGACACATTTTTTTTTACCGTTTGTGAGACCTCTCGAGTCCGTATCGATCCCTTCGAGGAACCGGTAGTCTTCCTTTGATTGCATGTTTACAGTATTTCCTAATAAAACGCACACACAATGCCGATACGAACGCTATCGCCTCCACCCAAACACTACTTCGACTGTTGTGGTTATATCTCGAGCGGATCCTCTTTCCGCGATTGTATGTTCGTTGGTTGTTTTCACATTACAAACCGCTCTGGTCTCCGCCCAGTATTTTTGTATATTTCCTAAACATTCACACACAACGCCGATACCTGTAGTGTTTCTGTAATGGTATGTTCGTGTTCTAACAACGAAAAACAGACAACGCCAATGCCAACACGAACGGATGAAATGTCGACAGACGTGGAAAGGCGTGTCGGCGCTGTGCCGAGACTTTATCGACAAGTGCCTGCACAAGCTCCCGAAGAAGAGGATGACGGCGAAGCAAGCGCAGCTGCACCCGTGGATCAGGAAGGCGGCCAAGCAGATGGAGGGGGCCCCGCTAAGCAAGGATTCGATGCTCGCCTTGGTCAACTTTCAAAAAACAAACCTATTCGAGAAGTGAGTGCGGGAGGGGGGGGTCATGGAGTTCTTCGCTTCGGCTGTTAGTGGTTAGATGATTGTTTGCCGCGCAACCTGCTCTGTTGAGAAACGGAACAGATTTTCCACTCCATGCGCGTTATGAGTACCCATGCGCGTTATGGCAGCGAGGTTTTGCCAGCGCGCATGCGAGATGAATGTGTCCGACCCGGCGTGTCCTTGCTTGAACCTCAACTTATTTCCCAATGATTTGTTCTTGTTTTTGTCTTCCTGCCTGCCTGCCGGTCTGCCTGCCTGCTTGGTGGCTGCCAGGGTGGCTCTTGAGCTGGTCGCATACTCGTACGAGCCGTCTCAGATCAAGGACTTGGAGTTGCGTTTCCGAGAGGTGGGAGACTCCAAGCCGGGACAAAAAATTCAGGGTGGTACCTACAGTGCCATGGAATGGAGCTGTCCTCGGCCCCCCAGTCTCTCGCTCGACACCGAAGTTTTTTTGTCGATGCTGACGTCAAATTACATACATGCATCCGTATACACTGGGAAGATTGCAGGCGGGATGTTGCTATGCGGCAGCGATCACGTCAAGAGCTAAGTTTGTAGAACGAATCCATTGTGCAATTTTAACACAGGCTGCTTCCGTGGTACCTATGATTGGTGCATGGAAATCGAGATCGCGAAGGGTGGAAAGGAGTTGAGAAATATAATCTCCCGCTTGCAAAGGCGAAAAAAAGGTACTGGAATTGGATATCGAGGCGACGCCGGGACGGAGACGCCAAGACGCATGGGAACGAGAGCGGGAAAACAACACCGCTGGTTTAGGAAATTGCCATCAACACCAACACCGTCCTCGTCGTCCGTAGTACCCATGACCACCGTGGTGTGATGTGATGACACCCGACGAAGATAGTATCATGTCACACGAGGGGCCACGCCCCGCCTCAGGCACTTGGTGTTTTTACCTAACTCTTCCCTCTTGCCGCGTGTTTCCTCCTCGCCCTTGTCGTGTTCGTTGCGACGGAACCAAACACTGCGCCCGGGCGGACGGGCGACTATCGATGACAACGATGATATTGATGACGGTGGTGGTGGCGCACGTGACCGGGGGGGGGGTTGTTGTACGCCGGTCTGCCGTCGTCATCGAAGATGGACAAGACAGGCAAGGGATTTGTGACGCTCGCGGACTTCAAGGCCGCGGTCATGGAGCTAAGGCTCTCCATCGCCCAGAAAGAATCGGGCGTTGCAGCAGCAGCACGGCCGGGCGAGAAGCCGGCGGGGGGAGAGCCAACGAACCCGGAGGTAGTGGCACCAAGCAACGGCAGACCGGTTGGGGGGGGGACGGATAGTCGAGAAGATGCAGAAGAAACACGTACAGCCGTGGCACCAGCGCCTCCTCCTCCCCCCGCTGCTGTCACCGCGCCCAACGAGGAGAGGCCGGGAGCAGCAGGGGCAGAAGAGGGGACAACAAGAGAGGAGACGGTTGTAGGAGACACGGAGGTGACGGGTGATAGTGGCACCAGCGGTGAGGGGGCAGCGGCGATAGCGACAGCGTCAGAAGACAACGGAGAGAGAGGAGATGGCCCGACGGCAGAAGGGAAGCAGAAACCAACCGCGGTGGCGGAGGAGGAGCAAAGAGGTGGCGGGAGGGGGGCTGGTTTCGGCGCCGGGGCAGAGAGCGAGGCAAGGTTAAGGCTGTCATCCTCTTTTTCCTCCCCTAAGGGAGCTCGCCGACAAAACGCAGCCACCCATGGTTACAAGTCATTCGAAAACTGAAACTTGGTGTGTGTGCCAGAAAAGCTATGGCAACACACACACAACCAACAAGGAGGGATGACGAATCGAATTGCGGGATGTTAGGCTTGACTGCGAGAAACGCCTCTCTAAAACGAAATCGTACGGTTCAGCAGAATTGTATTAGGGTTTGGCAGACCAGGCGGCAAGGAAGAGTGACATGATCCCATAGTCCCACAGCCATCCGAACGTTGAAGGAGGCGTGTTGTTGTTGTTAGTGTTGTTAGTGTTGTTGCGGTCGTCACTGCCGCTACTGTCGTGTTGATTCCGGCAGAAAGTCGCCACACGTGGGCGCACTCCATGGTGAGATGATGCTGTCGGCGTGAACTCATGGAGAGGGTGGGTGACCGACCGCCGAATGTTGATGTTAGCACCGCTGCTGCTGCTGCTGCTGCTACTGCTGCTGTTAACATATTCCCCCGCGCACGTGAATTTCGTTTGTCAGCAATAGGGCCGTACGTATCCGCCATCAGGACTGGTGTTAATTAATTTCGCAGTGCTGTGTAGTGGGTCCGGAAAAAAGAAGCGAGGCCCGTAACCGTTGAGAATAGTTGGCTTCTTTCGAACCAAAAATTGGCTCCTCTTGTTCCAGGTTGCAATCGAAAAGTACCGTCAGACATGGTGGGCGGTAGGCAGACCAATTGATATACGTTGGGCCGGCTGGCTTGAGAACAATTTGACGTTGTTGTTTATTTTTTCGATGAAACCGCGTGTTTTTTTATCTCGTCAGCAGCACCAGCAAGAGCGAAGATCCACGACGACGTCGTCGGTGTCGATGGAGGAGGTCGGTGCGCTCGTGAGTGACCTCAACGGCAAGGGCTCGAGCGCAGACCATCCTGTGGACCCGTCCGAAAGACGGCTGTACCGCACACAGAGCAGCAGGTCGCGCACCATTGGAGGCCTGGATGAGGAGGGGGTGAGTGCCGGGGAGGGGGTGGGGTGCATTAATGGAAACGCATGCAGTAGTCGTTAGACCGTTGACCTCTCGCACCCCTGCAATGCCGATACGGAGCGATATTGCCGGGGTTTACTTGGAGCGATAAGGGTGACACGCCGCGTGGTTTCGAATAAAAAGGAACTATGGCAGACACTACCTGGTGGATCCAGCAAAGATGAAATTCTCTGCTTTCTTGGCACAGCGATGAAGACCATAGAGGGCGGATTTCCACGAGAATCGAATCACGCCCTCCCCCCCACGATTGTGATTGCGGCTTCGAATGCGAAGACCGTGTTCATGTAGTGGCGGAATATCCGTTGTACAAGAAGGAGAGGGAAGTGTACGTGACTGAGCTGGGAAAAATAGAAGAGACGTACAGCGAGATGTTTGAGGCATGGAATAGAGAGGAAAGGACGGTAGCTGTACTGGGGCATAGGAGGTGGGTTGAAAAGGCGGGAAGGGATATCGTTAGGATAGACAGACTAGGGAAGACATTTTTGAGCCACCATTGACCAAGTAGAAAGGAACGATTGGCCACCGGTGATCTGTCCTGTGGGA